GTATTGCTAGGTATTATTTGGTAATAACGAGGAATACCACTCTGTGAAGACCAATACCGCGTAATCCAAAAAATACCGAGTTTTTTCTCTGTATTTTGTCTTCACATAATGATATTTCTCGTTATTGTTGGTATTGCTCGGTATTTCTCGTTTTGTGCCTGCGATCTTAGTGCCGGCCGAACATAGCTCTACGTACATTCACCGGACCAAATAAAAGTTCCATTTTGCATTCTGTCTTTAAGTGAAAAGTCACTCATCCACCTCAGCATCCTCATCTCTGCAATACTTGATTAAATTTTATGCTTCTCTTTTAATGACCAGTATTTTGCACTGTACAGAAATTCGAGGGATATTATGTTTATCACACAATAGGCCCAATATATTTCTCCACTTCAACTATCGATAGAAAAAATACTAAAATAAATTATTATTTCGAAAGAAAGTGACATGGTGCTAAGAGTTTTTTCTTATTTTTATTTTCTTACGAACTCCTCTCATCAATTACATCAATAATATTATATTTTTAACATTTAACTTAAACGAAAAGAAAGTTTTATTTCATAATAAATTAAATATTTGAGTGATATATTTGCAAAAACTTTCTCCAATTGACTTGAGACCTTTGGAAGACTTCGTCACTCGGTCGATTTGCGTCACTACGGATTGGCTGCCCCACCAATCCGCTATATTATTAAATCCTTCTCCTTCTCCTCTCTTCCCCCTCGCTCTCGCTCTCTCTCTCTCTCTCTCTCTCTCTCTCTGCAGCTTCTGAACACGAATTGGACAAGAAATGAAGGTTTGTTTCTCAATACAAATCAAGCTATATTTTATTAAGTTCTTCATTTAGTATTGATTTTATCACTTTTTTTCTTCAATCTCCCCTAAAAGGATCCATCTTTGTCTTCCTGCAACACTCCCCTGTTTTCTGTAAGTAAAAGGAGCGTTTTTTCGTTCCCAAACTTCTGTTCCTCGCATTTGTTGAAGATGAAATAATGAAGATTTGTTTAAAATTTAAACCAAGGAACTGTATTTTGTTACTTCTCCATTAGAATTTAGAACTGTTATTTTTGTCAAAGATATCATCCTTTCTTAAGGATCTCCCCTGTTTTTTGAATAAAGCTTTTGTCTTTGAATATTTCAAGATCAAATTTTTATTAAAGCTCTCACCTTTGGTTCTCTTTTTTCAGAAAACTGTTCTGAAACTCGATCTCCACGATGACAAGGACAAGCGCAAGGCCTTGAAAGCCGTCTCCACTTTCTCAGGTCTCTCTCTCTCTCTCTCTCTGTGTGTGTGTGTGTGCTGTGAACTAAAGTCATGAAGCGCAGGAATTGATTCAATATCCATGGACATGAAGGAGCGGAAGATGACGGTGATGGGCACCGTCGATCCCGTAGACATAGTAAAAAAGCTCAGGAAGTCTTGGAAAGCTGAGATATTTTCCGTTTCGGAGCACCCGAAACAAGAGGGCGGCCGCGGCGGCGTGAGCGGGTGGTGGCGGAGGCGGAGGCGGCGGCGGGCGCGAGAGAAGAAGAAATAATTCCAAACCTAGAGAGATGGCGGAGTGCTAAGAGCCTATCAATCTTATTATCACAACCCTCCCTACATAACCCAACCAGTACTACTACGCTCAGAGCCATCGTTGAAAATCCCGGCAAACACTTGTGTCATTAGCAATATATGTTACGAGGTTTGATAGGGTCCTTTGTAATTTCATTAGTTGCTTATAGTATTATTAGATTCATCACTTTTGGGGAAAAAAATTTGAGTCTGAATGTTCTAATTAAGATTAAAAAAAGAAATAAAACTATATCATGATCTGTTATAAATTATATTATGATGTTATGTAAAAAATATATAATTATTTTTAAATTAATGTAAGTATACATGATTTATATTGCATTTAAAAATTAAATATTTTTTAAATCTATTATAATGTAATTATGTATCGTTGATATCATTACATAATTTTTTTCATTTAATTGTTAGATTATTTTAAAATAATTAGATATAAATTTTTTGATTAATTATTTATATATTTTTACACTTATTGTATATCATTGATCTCAATTTGTTCTTTTAAGATAGTTTATTTTTTATTTTTTTTTAAAATAAGAGTGGGAAGATTAGTGATTTCTATTTGGGCTATATTTGGTTATGTAAACTTTTGTAATAGCCGTTAGATTGGATTATATTAATAAATCATAATTAATTTTTGTGAATTAATCGAAAGTTTTCTTCTATTAAAATGTGTCAACATTTCTTTATAGGGCACATTTGGTTATCTAATATTTAATTGCAAAATAAAATTAATATTTATGGGAGATCATATTGGGTTCGTCGGACTTTTGTTCTCTAGTCAAACCGTGCTTCGATTCTGTACTATAAGACACATCACATATTGAATATCATTTAGTCATCCAATTATATATTTTGAACCTTTTTCTAAATGTGCTTCGGCAGCTTGTATTGAATTTGTGTGTCTTGGATTCGTCTCTTTGAGATGTTAATTGACATATAAATTTGATTGAAATGAAGCTTGCATCTGTGAATTTTACAGTTTTCAATTCAAAAATTTGTTTCGTAGTATCATGCTTGATTATATTTATATATATATATAGTAATATAGGTACATTATATATATATATTATATAATATATTTATATCCTTATATATATTAGTATATTATATATAATAATATATTATATATATATCTATATATATTCAAATATTATTTAAAATTGAGGAATAAACATAACTATAAGTAATGTAATTAAATTTTATATTAAAATACAAATTTCTTTTTTCTCTAAAATATTTTTAGAGATAATGTAATGGAATTTCTATGATTTTGAATATAGATCGAAGATTTAATTTTCTAACATGATAAAATCTTTAGGTGTGACTTTATGTGATTTCTTTTTGTTCTTTCATTTTCATTATTAATAAATGCCCTAACTTTAAAGGCATGTATAAAAAATAAAAAGAAGAAATTCACTTCTTGATGATTTTAATTATTGGAGAATTCTTATATTTATCAACAAAGTATAGGGCCAACATATTCTTTATTTTTCAAATAAAATTCTGAGTTTATATGTGAGGTGTTTTTGTTCTCTATTTTATGTTTCCTTGATTATTTAAAAATATTTTAGTTCTCGAATGCTCGACAAATTTATTTATTTTATTTGTTTATTTTTTTATTTTTTTCGACGAATTGTTAAATGTTGAATGGTGATTGAACTCGTCCAACAACTTGAAATATGTTAGAAGCTTATTAGAGATGCTCAACTTCCCATATGATCAATATTCAATTACATCATTGTAATGAGTTATATTTTATTATGCATTATGTTGTAACTTATATTATTTATATTCATTTTGATACCATTGAGATTTTCAACTTCTTCGTCCATGACATCCTCACACGTGGTGTCGACCTCCTTGCATGTTTTGTCTCGTATGTTGTCGTTCTCCATGAGTAGAAGATGACATGGCATATAAATATCTTCAGCGCCAAAAATATTCCCAAAAAATATGACGAAAATATTCATTTTCTTACTAGACATATTAAGTAGCTCCTAATTATAAAATAGAGAATAATAGCAAAAGCAATTTGGAGAGCAACTAGACTTTAGAGTTTGCATGAGAGCAAACTTAGGCTTCGTTTGGGTTTGGGACGGCTTTCTTGTTGCTTTCTAAGACAACTTTTTAATTCAAAATTTTGATGAATTATAAAATTTTAAGCTAAAATGCTGCTTCAAAAAACAGTAAAAAAATCGTACCAAATAAAACCTAAGGCACATTGAGTTGAATTGGACTTCACTTTGATCATTTATAGTTGCATTGGATTCATTTTACATAAATATTCCATTTAATTAAACATGAATTTTTTTAATCCCAAATTATTTATAATTAGATTTTGGGTCCGTCTAGGATGGCCTTTTCATTGCTTCTTTTTTCAAATAACAATTACAATTTCATTTGTCTACCTACTTTATTGTTGCTTTCTTACAATTTTTTAGAATTTTTTATGGTGTAAAACTATTTTTTAGAATTTTTTGAGGCTTTGTTTGGAATGACTTTCTTACTGCTTTTTAACGCATCTTTTTAGATAAAAAGTTAAAGTTTTTGTACTGAAAAGCTGTTTTAAGAAGCAGTAAGAAAGTTATGTCAAACAAAGCCTAAGTTATTTTCCCCTCAGCAATTTTACAACCAACTTTATAAAACGTTGCAGCCATCCCAATAGACATTTAATATAGAAATTGAATCTAATAAAAATTTTTAATTTTTTAAATTTAAAATAACAATTTTTTATTGAAAAGGAGAAATTTTCTCAACGCATCAAGTTGGGCAAACCACAAATAAAATGTAAAAAAAGTTAAAAAATACGTTAGATTTTGATGAAGTTACGAAATTAAAAAAAAAGTAGGATTAAACAATATTGCCAAAGAGGAAACGCTCATGAAAGATCCATAGGATAGGCCATTTAAAGTTTATAGTCATAAAGGTAAGAATTTTAGAGCCTTTTTTTATAATATCTTGATAATATATTTAATGATAATATAAATATATAAAGGAAACCCACCCATCTTTGAAAAATACAGAGCAAAATGATAATTATTACATCAAATAAGACGACTTTATATGACGTTGGCAGATTCTTATGAAAATTAGAATTAAATTTTTATTAGAATTATTATCATTTCTTCGAGTTAAATTATAATATATGATAATTTAATTCATTTTTATATTATATTTTAAAATTAAATTTAATGAGTTTAAAATTTAATGTTAGAATAAGCAGTAATTTGTTTTTTTCTTAATTGGCTGTGTTTGCATTTGAGAAAGACAGCTAGCGATGCTTCGCGTCCAAATCTCTTAGTAAAAATAAAATTAATTGGTTTTTAATATAATATTCATGCTAAAAATAGCTTTTAATAGTTTTTAAACCTTTAAAATTTTCTCAAAATAATTTAATGATTAAATAAATATATTTAGTACATTATTGTTGTAGCTAGAATATATATATTATATATATATATTAATATATCATTTTAAAATGTAAATGAAAAGAATAGTTTTTTTATTGTTTTTCTAAATTAATTAGTTCAAAATTCTCTTTTTTTTTTTTTTTTTTTTTTTTTTTTTTTTTTTTTTTTTGTTTAAGAAGTTTTTTAACCTAAAGGCTTCGTTTGGATGACTTTTTAATGCTTTTTAAAGCCCAGTTTTTTTAGTTAAAAAAAATTATTTTTTTTTGTTTACTAAAAAAACTATTTTAAGAAGCAGGAAGAAAGCCCTCTCAAAACGAAGCATAAAAATTATTTTTAAAAAACAATAAGAAAAGATGTCCCAAATGAACTTTAAGGCCTTTGTTTGGGACGGGCTTTTTTTATTGCTTTATTAAACGGAGTTTTAGTACAAAATTTTTTATTTTTTACTAAAACTCTATTTAGAAAGCTTAAATAAAAAAGTCGTCCAAATGAAGCCTTAAGCGGGTGGAATTATCTTTTCTATTGCAGTGGCAGTGGGTTGTATGACCAATACCTTGATTTAGGGTAATCCTTTACCAAATGTACATGTCAATTAATGAAAGATGGGGCCATGAGTGCACCAATGTGACTCATTCCATGGCAATTTATTATGAGAAGATTCAACATCTAAAAGTATGCAAACACCTTTGAACTCCAATTTACAAATCATTTATTGCCAAATTGCTCCTTTTTGTAGAGAGAAGTTGATTTCATGTAAAATGAGGTATGTTATTTATATATATATATATATATATATAAATATATATTATATATATAATATATATATATATATATAATATATATATATATATATATATATATATATATAATATATGGTCCGTTTAAGAGGTGATAAATTTGAAAATTTTCATGCAAATTCTTCCATTGAAAATTCAAACCATCACTAATAATGCACTCAAAAGATCATTTCTATGACCATGTTTATTTATATAATTAATCAATTACATCATTAATGCCACCTATAACTATCGAAACTTCATCAATCGGCTGGGTAAGCCCAAGTTTGGGTGAGGTCAATTGGGTTAATCCAAGGGCAATATTATATGATCATATTATTGTTATAAGTGATACATCATAAAAAAATTGCTCTTACCGAGCACGAATCTCGAGGCATATTATAATTAGAAAGCTTCAAAATTAAATTTGGGATAATTTCAATTTCAATTTCAGCAAACTTACAGTCAAACTGAATATCTCAAAGAGATGAATCTAATGACACAAAAATCGGTCCAAACAAAGCCCAAATGGGTCCAAATTGGGGGCCCAGACAACATTTAGAAGGGTCAAATCATTATTTGGATGACAAAATGATATCAAAATATGGCATGCTTATAGTCAAATATTCGAGCCGCTCGGCAAGAAAAATCCAACGGGCCCAAGAACGTTGAATTCTGACATCGTTAAGGCACTGAAATAGTTGAAAAACTGTTTATGATCAGAGGAATCAATACGAGCCATCCGATGGAGCGCTCCAATCCTGCCCCGAATA